GTGTGGGTGTGTGTGTGTGTGTGTATGTATGTGTGTATGTAAGCGTGAAGGTGAACAGTAAGCGCGAAGCACATGGCGCGATCTTTGTATCCGTTTTTCTTTTTCTTTTTCGTTGCACTCTTTCTTGAGAGAGAGAGAGAGAAGAGAGTGTGTGTGTGTGTGTGTGTGTGTGAGAGAGAGAGAGAGAGAGAGAGAGAGAGAGAGAGAGAGAAAGAGAGAGTGCGTGTGCGTGTGTATGTGTTTGAGAGAGAGAGAGAGAGAGAGAGAGAGTTGCAATGACTTGCTGATTTTGACTGCCGAGATCTAATTGCAAGGCTGTACAATATCAGCGGTAGGGTTAGATTCGTAATTTTGTTTGTGTCAGGGACTAATCGAGAGTTCAGTGCTGAGGGAAATTTGTGAGGGACATAACTGCAATCTTGGGAAAATTACAAGCCCGCAGTTCCCTTAGGCCGCACTGCGAATAGCAGGCCGGGGCTATCACTAGGACGGGAGGCCCTAGGGCCTAGGCCCGTTGCATGAGGCCCAAACTGAAACGGTACCGGTCGGTCCAGTTCGTGTCTAGGTCTAGGTTAATCTATTAATAGATCTAGGTCGCTAGGGTTAGGACTTTTGGCTGTTTTCATTTCCGCGTGACAACATTCTGAGCCAAGAAAGAACAGTGGAGACGATTGCCCTCATGCGGCATCCCGAGACCTTCGTTGTGGACGACAGCCATAGCCAGCCTTCTGGAGCTCGCCATAGCAGGGGTGTCCTTTGAGCATCCACCCCTGGGTGTGCTTGAGGGTTGGTGATAGTTACAATTCTGTGTGTTTCTAGTGAAGCGCAATTCTGTTGTTGTCACCTGGGCAAGAACGCTTACCCGAATTTGCAGTAATTGAGCAGATACAGTGAAAACTGTAATCTTCCATACCCCTGGGTATAGCCGACAGAGTCGTCAGTGGCAAAATTTGAGTCTGAGTCTGGGTAGTAGTCTACTGACTAAATCGCAGAGTCTGGTTGATCTGTGCTTGTTTGTACTTACCTCTTCCATCTCTCCTACTGATTGCTCTTGTTTTCTAGTGGGCACTGGAACTTTAGTGACCTCTATAGAAAGTCTAGAATTAACAGTACTAACTCCAGTGTGGTCCTGGGTCAGTCAAAAGGAAATCGTGTGTTTGATTTTGCTAGACTGTGTGTGTCTGACTCCTGGCCTCCAGAGAAGGCTTCTAACCCAAATCGCTTATTGCCTATTCACCCACCTACTACTGTGTCAGAGGTAGCAACGTTCTCTGTGTGTCTGAAAGAAGTATGAGAATCGCTGCATACTCTGTGTCTGTTGTTCAATTAACTTATTGTTTGAAGGGAGAAAAATGTTTGAACAAGGTGCAGAGTCGCAGCCACAGGGACAGGTGGTGAAGGAGGAACCACAATCCTCAAGTCCCCCTCCTCCTCTGACTGCGACCCAACAGCGTGTTCAAGAGATGAAGGAGAAGCTGCAGCAGCAGCAGGACTTGCTAGCAGAGTTGGAAAGGAAAGAGGCAGCCGAGATGGAAGCTTCAACAGATGCGTCCCGCAAGACGTATCTGTTGGAGCAGCTGGCCGAGATAGAGGCAGATGGTCTGTCCTCAGAAGCGAATAAGTGTATGGCAGAGTGGATCCGACTGGACAACAAAGCTACAACTACTTATTTCACTAACTGGGATGACCGGATGGCACGACTAGAACGCCGTGTTGATGATCTGGCAGCTCAGCAAACAAAGATCCTGACAGCAATAGAATCTTTGGTTGCTCAACTGACAGCTGCTGATATTGTTGTTTCCTCCTCTTTGTCTTCCAAACCTCTCAAACCTTTTCCTCCTTCCTCTCACCTTACCAGTTCCAGACATTCTTCCCCTCCACCATCTCCTCCCTCAAAAGCATCAGTCCCAGGGACCACTGTCCCTCCAGAAGGTGATCAGCGGATCTTTCCCAAGATCCTAACCCCCAACAAGTTCAAAGGAGATGATCCCAAAGTGGATGTTGGGGATTGGGCTGCTGGTGCAAGAGCCTACCTGAGAGGCTTCACCTGTCCTGAAGAGACGAAGGTCTCTACTGTTCTAGGTCTGTTGAAGTGGGCCACCTCCACCTCCAGCAGCCAAGACAAGAGGCTGGAAGATTGGGCTTTTGGGTTGGGAGTGGACGGGCTTCTGCAGGCTCTGGAGGACAGATTTGCAGATAAGGAGCGAGCCCGAAAGGCTTCTGATAGGATTGCTCGCCTGGGACAACAACAATATTCAGGGACCCTTCACTCCTTGTTTGCAGAATTCGAGCAGCTCCCCTGGGTTAGTCATGTCTACTAATGATTTGCTGACTAACTTCTGCAGGGCAGCGCCTGAGAAGTTCGCTGCAGCATTGTACAACTCTGGGCACAAGGACTGGAGATCCTTATGCCGAGCAGCGCTGGATATGGAGGCAAAACTCCATGTCCAGACCCCCTCCTCTGATAGGAGGAAGAGAGTCTTCCCCCGTGGTGGAAAAAGGGGAAAGGCTGCTTTTGCTCATACAGGTTCTGGATCAGCAAGTGACTCAGATTCCCAGGCTGTTTCACCACCGGCTAGGACTGCATCACCTTCTGATATAGAAGTTGCCGCGGCCCTGACTGAGGCTGTATTGGCGGTTTTACAAAAGAAAACCCCCTCCAGCACAGCCTCAACCAGCAGCAAGGGGAAGGACAAGGGACGTCGTCCTTTTACCCCTGCCCAGAGGCCTAATCTGCAAAGAGTCGTCCGTATGCCAGCTGACCCCGTGAACCCTTCCACCATTCCCTGGCATGATCTCTGGATCCAGGAAGGGATGTGGAGAAGGAGGAAGGATAGGGGGTCTGCCTGAGATGTGAGGGACAACACTATCTGAAGGACTGCCCTTACATGCCAGGCCCTTGGTCACAACCAAAAAACTGAAGCAGACCCTAGGGGCAGCAGCTCCCCCTAGTGCTGCAAACTCATCTTTTGAAGAAGGTGAATCTGCAGCTGCTTCAGTAGATAGGCCTTGTGTTGGAGTTGTGCGGGCAGCATCCTTTTGTTATCAGGATCCTGACCCGGATCAAGAATTGGAGGAGCATGAGTCTCAGATGTTTGCTTCCCTCTTCCTTCAACTGAAGGAATAGAGGAAAACCAAATCTGAACTCATCCTACTTCAGCCCCTGATCAACCACACCAGAATCAAAGGTCAGCTGGATTGTGGAGCTACCCGGAACTTTATGTCACCTTATGCAGTTAAAAACCTGCATCTGGGCCTAAAGGTAGAGACACTGCAGCACCCGCTGCAGGTCCGAATAGGGGACTCCACTATCCTCACTATCAGGGAGAAGGTCAAAGGCATAGTCTGAACTTCTACATTTTCCTTGATCTTCCCTTTGATTTGGTGTTCTCTATGTAGTGGCTACGGGCAGTCAACCCTAGGATCGATTGGCAGACTCCTAAGGTTGAACTCCCCAATATGCAGGGGGTGTATCAGCCGTGCATGATTGTTGCTGAACACCACCCTGAGACCTCGTGCTACTGTTTATGAGTGAGGGAGTTCTATACTCTCTCTCGCCAGTATGACCGCCAATATGACCATATGAGCATCTGTTTTTTTTTTCCCTTGTCAAACAAACAGATGCTACAGTTGTTCCCTGTCCTCCTGAAGTCCAGCAGGTCGTGGACCAGTATGCCGATCTGATGCAGAAGTCTGTTGGGTTACCCCATCGACCAATCAAGCATCACGTCGAGTTGTTGCCTGGTCCCTCCAAAGGTCCGCATCTACAGGATGTCCCCTGCTGAGCTTGGAGCTCAGAAACCAGCTTGAGACCTTGACCAGCAAATGCTGGATCAGACCTAGCACATCTGAGTTTGGTGCCCCTGTCCTCTTTGTTCCCAAAGGGAATGGGGAATTCAGGATGTGCATAGACTACAGGGGTCTCAACAAAATCACGAGGAAGAGTACAGAGCCTCTCCCTCGTATTGATGACCTTCTGGATATGGTGCAGGGCTGCACATTATTTAGCAAAGTCGTCCTCAAATCTGGCTATCACCAGATTGAGATGGCAGAGGAGGATGTCAACAAGAAAGCCTTCAAAACCAGGTATGGCACTTGTGAATACCTGGTAATGCCATTTGGACTTTGCAATGCCCCAGGCACTTCTAGACTGAGATGCACCGCACATTCAGGCCTTACCTGGACAAGTTCATGGTTGTCTACTTAAATGATATTTTGGTATTCAGTCGAACTGCCAGGGAACATGCGAAGCACCTAGCTCCGGTTCTTCAGGCATTATGTGACAGCCAGTACACAATTTTTTTACTTTTTTTTTAAACACGCCCACACCAGTGTTAGTGGTGCTGATAAGAGCAGACACCACTAGCACCTGGGGAGAGGCTCCATCTATTGGTGGGGAGCATCACATGCTGGGAAACGGGCACAGCGTCCCATGTACAAATTGAATTTGATTCCTGCCAGCATTGATTACCTTGACCTCCAGGGGATTGACTGAGCAGGAACCAGGGAAGGGGGGGACCTCTTCACGTTGGAACCGGCGCTAGATACCTATGGCTACACACTAGTTCCTCCCTCCCCCACGAGCCCCAGTCCTTTTTGTTGATGGAAACCGGGTCCAGCGTCCCTTTGAATACGTCTTTTTTACAGAAGGGTTAGCTGAGAAAACACCTGCCAGCCGCGCTTACGCTGGAATTCAGAAGATTAACAGTGCAGGATTTCGAAACCAGGAGGAAAGGGACTGATTCTACTATTGCTATCGTGGCTAAAAGCTGATTCTTCCCTCCCCACCGTGGCTCAAGGCTGATTTTTCCCTCCCTCCTTTGCCCCCTCACCCTTGTTGCTGCTTGTAACGTCTCTCTCTTTCTTACCCCCAAGGAGGCTCCATCTATTGGTGGGGAGCCACACCTGCTGGAGAGCGGGTCCATCGTCCCTGAACAAGATAATGTTTGTCGGACCTCACAGATAGTTGATGTCAATTAGCATTGATTGCCGTAGACCAACCAGCCTGCACTAAGCCGTCGTCTTGCACCCAACCCTCGTTGTGCCTTCGATGTTATGTTGCCTGGATCCGCTGACCCGCTTACTCTGCTCCGTACCATTGCATGTCCACCATTGCCAGCTGATGAGGCGGAAAGGGGTCAGGTGTGACGCACATGCAGACGGCACGTGCACGCAGGGGGAATGGGGTCGGGTGGGGGAAAGAATTGCGGGAGAAGGTGGATCGAGGGGGGGGTGGAGAAGAAAAAGTGGGGAGCGGGAGCGGCGGCGAGATCGGGATCGGGGAAGAGAGGGAAAAGGAGGTTGGGCTGGATTGGGGCCGGGGGTGGGAAGATCCGATCGGGATCGAAGTGCAGCAAGGGAGAGAACGGTGGAGCGGAAGTCGCGTAAGGAAGCGGAGCGGTGAGGTGAATCGCGCGCGCGAAGGGGAGCGGGGGAGATCGCGCGAGGGAAAGGAGCGGGGTGGTGGGGGAGGAATCAAGATCGGAGACGGGAGGGGGGTTTAGGTAGGAAATTGAAGTCGGGTTGGGAGCGGGATCGGGAAGGGGAGGAAACGGGGAATCGATAGTGCAGCG